GAACTGAAGGGACAGCTCTCTGGTGCAGTTCCAATGACTTGGGAACCTGAGGTAGGAGGATTGCTTGAGTTCAGGAGTTGGAGTCAGCCTGGGCAACACAGCAAAAGCTCGCCTCAAGAAAGATATACATTTGCAGATCACATGGTTTTATATGTAGAAAATCCAAGATTACACACATATAGACATATACACACACTCATACCCTTTGGACCTAATGAAATAATACAGTAAAGTTACAAGTTGCAAAATCAATATACAAAAATTAGTCATGTTTGTCAATACTAATAAAGAACAATAAAAATTAAGAAAGTAATTGCACTGTATCAGCATCAAAAGGAATAGACTACTTAGGAATATATTTATCAGGAAATCAAGAGGCCTGTAACTGAGCCAGGGATGGTGGTGCCTGCCTGTGATTCCAACACTGGGAGCTGAGGCAGGAGGACTTCCACGAGTGCAAGGCCAGTCTGGATTGTACGGCAAGACCCTGTCTCACCAACCCCCCCACCCAAAAAAGGAGACACAGAGAGAGAGAGAGACAGACAGACAGACAGACAGACAGACAGATAGAAGAGGGAGAGGAAGAGGCAGAGGGAGAGGCAGTAGAAGGGGGAGAGCGAGGGAGAGAGACTTGTAACTGAAAATTTCAAAACCACTGCTGAAAGAAATTAAAGACAACAAATAAATGGGAAGAATTCTGTGTTCATGGACTGGAAATCTTATCATAGGTAACATGAAAATAATTTTACAGATCTGAAGTGAGCCCTACTCAAAAATCAATGGAGTTTTTGTTTGTTTTGCTTTTGCTGAAACAGAAGATACCATCACAAAATTTATGGGATCTCAAGAAAACTTGAATTGCTAAATCAATCTTGAAAGAGAAAAGAGCTGGAGTAGTCATGCTTCCAGATTTCAAGATGGGCATGGTCAACAGATTTTGGTAAGAGTGCCGAGAGCAATCGGGGGCAAGGCCAGCTCTCTGTACAAATGATCCTGGCAAACCTCTATACACAAGAAAATGAATGATGCCGACTCTTCCCTTTGATCATAACCAGAAATTAACTCCAAACGGATGAAAGACCTCAACATAAGAGCTAAAACTGTAATGCTCTCAGAAGAAAATATGGGAGAAAAAGCTTCACATAACTGGCTTTGGAAGTGGTTTCTTGTGTATCACACCAAAATGAAATTATTTATGCTATGTCAAAGGACTACTAAAAGACAACATATAAACTGGGAAAAATATCTGCTTATCATGTGTCTGATAAGTGACGGCTACCCAACATATATAAAGAACTCATACAACTTCAGAAATATCCCAGTTAAAAAGTGGGTGAAGGGCTTGAATGGACATGCCTCCAGAGAATTTATAATAATGGCTAATTAGTCCATGCTCAGATGTTCAACCAATCTTAGGCAAATCAAGATGACAAGAAGACAGTACTTTACACATACTATGATGGTTATTATAAAAATTATGCAAAAAACCCAAGTGTTGGCAAGGATATGGAGAAATTAAAACCCTTAAGGTACTGCTGGTAGGAATGTAAAATGGGGCAACCACTATGGAAAAGTTTGCAAACCTCAAAAACTTAAATGGATTTTCCATGTGATTCAGTAATTTCTATGATTCAGCAAAGAACCAAAAAGAACTCAGAAATTTGTATGTTAAAGTTCACGGTAATGTTATTCATAATATCCAAAAGGCAAAAGCAATGGAAGTGTTTATCAATGAATATATAAGCAAAAAGGAATATATATCACCATGGAAAAGCATTCAGCCTTAAAAGGACTGAAATTCCCATACACACTAAGGCATGGATGAACTTGTTTATGCTAAGTGAAGTAAGTCAAGACACAGAAATGTTTCCACTTACGTGAGTTACTGATGGAGACAGGAAGTAAAACGGCTATCAGGAATGGGGAAAGAAGGAATGGAGAGTTGTTTTATGGGTGGAGTTTCAGCATAGGATAACAAAAACTCTCTAGAAATGTACAATGATTATTGTACAATACTATAAATGTATTTAATGCCACTTAAAGGTGGTTGAGGATAAATTTTATGTCATATATATTTTATAATTTTAAATAGTTACAACCCTTTTGAAGAGAATTTAGAAATACCTAACTAAATTATATATGGCTTACTTTGGACCAAAGAATCTCATACATATTATTTCTTATATCACTGCTTGTACTTGGAAGAATATTGGGAATATTCAATAAGGAGTGTGAATATAGATGACATACAATGTCTACTCTAACTATAAAAATAAGGAAGAGAGCTGTAAAACAAAACAAAACTATTTCTAGGATATATTGTTAAAAACGCAAAGTGTAGAAGAGTAAAATGATGTTCCTTTTAAGAAATAAAAAAAGAAAAAAAATAAGAAAATACACATGTATCTGTTCACTTGTGCAAAAACACAATAGGAAAGAATAAAAAGCAAAGAACGAGAGAAAAAGCACTAAAGCAGGAGAGAGAGAGAGCAATGATATTTTTATCATTTCTCTTTATACAGTTTGCTGGCAACAACAGTTATGTCCCAAGCACCCTAAAATAAAAACAATTTAAAGGAACTAAGATGTGGTAGAAGACAAAAAACAAAATATAAACAGTGACAAACGAATCTAAGTACGGAACACTGTAACAGAAAGTGGCCTCTCTAGCCAGTACACTTCATTTGCTGAGGTGCTCTTACCTTTTGTGTCTGGAGGTCCCCCCAAAGCCTCATGCAGTCATGGGCAGGCTGCTAGAATTTGTGCTGACTCTTGGTTCAATGCTGAGGTTATGGGTGTGAGTGTCACACCCACCTCAGGGAGTGCACCCTACATACAGTGTAAGAAACACAAAGAGTCTTCTCTCATGCTCCTCCCTTTGCTAGTGCTGCTTTTGCTGTTTCCCACTACCATGAACTGCTGCCCCTCTGCCAGGCCACCCTGCCTTGGAGTCAACTGATTGTGGACTGAGATCTCCACAAGCTGTGAGCTAAACAAACCTTTACTTCTTTAACTTTGGGTGTTGGGAATTTTGTCCCAGCAATGAAAGAAAAGTAACCGGGCAATAACCCAGATAACAGTTTCTGTTCTAGTTCTGGTTGTTTCTCTCTTAGAAATAGCTGGTCACTGTGATACATAACCGGTTACCATGATGCACATTTTAAGAACCAATCCCTGACTGACAAGCCATTCTGCCTCTGTACCTCCTGCTTGTTTATCCCATACAAGCCAGAGGTTAGCGCCAGATATGCTGGGAATGATCCTGATCAGTGTTCATCGATATAAATAAATCCGCTCCAAACACTGGGTGTTGCTTTGGTGTTTCTGCTTGCTGTTGCAATATAACCAAAATATGCAAATAATCTAAGTAATAAGTGTATCATGACAATAAGACTAATAATAAAGAGAACTGTATATAAATAAAATAGTCTGCTAGAAATCTCTCAAAGATGTAAGGGCTGGCAATTTGGCAAATCCCAGGACTAGACAAATACATGTATATTAGGATCGAACAAATAAAATGCAAATTTGTGTTTTAGAGAGTCAGGTTTCTTACAGTAAGATAAAGTGCTCTTTGGAAATAAGACTTGTTCTATGGCTGGGGCAGGGAACCACAGCTGTGCCTGGTTTATCCAGAGCTGCCTAAGAGTAAGGGATTAAAAAGTAACAATTAGGCACACTGAAAGGATATGGGAGGCAAACTAAGCAGCTTCCCATGGCCAAGATGTACTCCTCTAGAGTTATGATAATAGAATACTTAAATATTCATAAGCTTATATTGATAAAATAACAATAAATAAATGAGGGGAAAACAGCTCTTTAGATTTTAGCAGAATTTTAATTAATATGCAAAGAAGGAAGGATGGTAACTAAAACTCACCATTAAATTAACACAAAAGTAACAACTTGGGTGTGACACATGGGAATACTCAATGAATAATAAAACAGTGAGAGAAAGAATACAATCTTAGACTTATTAAAGAGAAAGAAAAATAAACAGCTATTTTACATTGGAGAAAAATGGCAGATAGCACCTCAATGAAATGACAGAAATTAGCAATATTAGCAGTAAGATAAATCAGTATGATGTGCCCCTACCTCACTGACATGAAGCACTGAGAAAGGCACATCAACGTTGTGCTATTCTTGATGAGACACACACCCTCAAATGAGTATGAGAGCACATGAGACAGACTGGTAGACATTTTAGCACATTGCTGGTGAGAACTCTTCACGTGTCAAGATCGTGAAGACCAAGGAAGATGGCAGCTGTCACAGATAGAGGGGACGAAGGATCTTTGACATATGAATGCAATGTGGGAAACTAGGTCAGGAAACATCAATGGCAAAGCAAGTAACATGTGCTCAAGGTCTATAATTAGTTACTAATACTGTATCAATGTTAATTTTCATTTTTGTTTAATAAGATGTTAACATTAGGATTACCTGAATAAAGGTCATATGGGAATTCTGTACTACTGTACAACTTTCTGTAAGTTTAAAGGTTTCTTTTTTTTTCAAAAAAGAAAACAACAGATCCAAATCTTTGGTGCCCATCGTTTGGTGGATTCACTCACAATGCTAAATTCACCACTTTACTTTAAAATTAGAAAATCTTAAGAGAAAATATTAAGTCTCTAGCTTGTGCAATCCCATCCCTAAGTTGTCTAAACAAGAGTGGTGTTGGGACTGGGGATTTAGCTCAGCGGCATAAGCACCTGCCTTGCAAGCAGGCGATCGTGGGTTCGATTCCCGGTACCAATAAAAAATGAAAAAGACAAAAAAAAACAAAAAAAATCCCCACAAAACCAAGAGCGGTGTTGTGTTACAGTTCATATGTTAACATGTTTTCACCCATGACAGTTTCCTGAGAACAGGGATCAAAGACTTTTACTTCTACATGCTGTTACCTTTCTGTCACAAGTACATGCTAAAGGAGTATACTGTGAGTGAGTGACAGTACACAGAAGACCTCAGGGCTGTAGAAAGTAGGTACTTACGCTCCACAAAGGACGTAAAGAGCATTCTGAACCTGCTAAGCCGACTGCCTTCATCGGCCCACATTCGGATCACGCCGACTCCTGTTTTAAGCATCACATCATTAGCCACAGTGCTGCAGAACTTGGCTTTCAGATTTTCAATAGCACTACTTCCATCATAGACTGCAACAAAGTTTCTTTTGCATTCATTCGAGTGCTCCATTTGATAATCTAGAAATCTCAAATAAATCTGTAAAATTAAAACAAAAATACTGTTGTAAAAATCCTTTTTTTCAACTTCTCCACGTTCATAGTCAAAATGTCAGACTGAATTACAAGAGCCGAGACAAAAACAACAGGTGAAAGTCTAATAACTAAGTAGTTAAAAGAGCTAACGCTAATGGTCTGTTTCTTTGTCTAAATAATGGAACCAAGCATTAGGGAATGTAAACTTTTAATTTTGTCTATAAAGAGAAGAAACTTTTAAACTTCACACATTTTCCTCATAAAAACAATCTTATGGTACTGAAGAATCACTCATAGTTTTATCATTTTAATAGTCAGAGAGTTTACTTTAGTTTATATATTTTAAGATCCCAGTCTACAGGGTATGTAAGACACATACCTCCTGCTTTTGCAGGTGTTACACTTTTATAGCATCCCACAGTGCTGTCTCATCTACTTGCACATTTTCCTATTTGCCGCATACTTGTTTTAAGATTCACCCTTAACCCTTCTCTACATTTTCAGACAAAGCATGCACCATTAGCATCTCCCCTATTCAAAGTTCATAGGCAGTTTGCTAATCAAAATAGATTTGGTTCATGTTTGTTCAAAGATACCCTTTACTTCTGTACACTGTAAGTATAGTAGGAATTTAAATATTAATCTACAAAAGAGCCCACTAATAAAACAGGAATTGTTTGCATCGTGGCGAGACTCAGGAGCCTGTCTAGGGTTCTTGTGGGTCAGTTCTGAACCCAGGCAGGCCTAACTCCATTTTTACTCACTTACGTATGTCCTTGAGCACACATTCTGGCTTTGGATCCAGTTGTGCATATGTAACTCTACAACTAAATTTTACTGAGAGTAAAACTTTCCACTGAAGACATCTAATGGGCAATAACTTTCTAGCTGTTACTTTTGACTTAGAAGGCTTAGTAAAACAAAAACATTCCTCTGTAAAATACGTTGATGGCAAAATACTAAAAGCAATTAAAACTACAGCTTGAATTTTGACCAATTAACTTTAAGTTATGTGAAATGACCAGCACGCCATTTCTACAAGCATGGTAGGAAATAAATAGGAAACAGATTCTCCATTCTAAATGGTACAAAATCTTTGTGCATGTAGGCAGCATGTTTTTATACACAGATCACTGCTTCTCATTAATTTCTGCGTTATGTACGCAGCCAAAACACTCTGTTCATGGTTCTGTGGTGACAAATAATACTGTATCCTCTCAATTAGACTATAATGTCTCCAATGAGAGACTCTTTTGCTAAAAGTTACCCACCATAATCATTGCTCATAGTAGGCAGAAGTTACTTTCTGCTTTTCTTTTAATACAAAAAATCATGGTTATGCCTAAGCTTACAGTAAATACTTTTCAAGAGCATTTCTACTTTTAAATCAAGAGTTGAAGATAAATCATGACCATATAACATTTCTGTTGTGAATACAACTAAATATTCTAGTTGGAACAGGATCTTGCTATGCAGTTCAGGCTGGCCTTGGGCTCACTTTGTAGCACAAGCTCATCTTGAACTCACAACGATCCTCCTGCCTCAGCCTCCCAAGTGTTGGGAGTTCAACCAATTTTTAGAAAATATTCATAGCAGTATGAATGTGACAAAGTGTGGAAGGGCACAAAGTACTCTTACACCAGTTGGCACGGAAAGACATGCTCATTAAATGCCCTTGGCCTCTCAGCCTACACCTGTGTCCCAAACAGGGAAGCAGAAAGTTACCAGGGATTAAGGGGAGAGTTTGGTCTCCTCCTCTGCAGACCAAGCAGAAACCTGGGTTCTCCTTGGAGTGGAATGCTCTATTCATGACAGGTGAAACCAGTGGGTAGAGCCTTAGCAGACGCCCACCAGTGTCACTAAGCTGACCCTCCTCACTTAGCCTTAGTTCACTGTAAAGGGCCTGCTCTGAATTTCCCCAGGCTGACAGCTTTTACAATGGATTCAAACACTTTTCCCAGCTCGTTCAGAACTCTAGTGGAGCAAAGGCTGTTATTTACTTGGAATCTAAGAAGACCCCAACAAACGTGAAATGAAATCTTAGAAATCTACTCCCATTATGGAAAGGCCATTGATGAAAATGGAGTAAAACAATTCTGTGTATTTTTAAGTATATATTAATAATTGCTTTCTTCTGTATATTTATATAAGTATTCTGCACGTTTCCCTTCAAAATCACGCATTTACTAATTTATTTCACCTTGGGTGTGCAGGATTACAGTGGTCTTTAACTTTCCTCTCTAAATGTCTCTGCTCAGTGGTAACACTGATGTTGCTGGCAGCTGAGTCAGATACCCTGCAACTGTGGGGGAAGACAGACACCTCTGCTGTGTTCCAGACCTCAAGACAAAAGATCAAACAAATGCACCCATATCCTAAGGGTAAGAAGAGCCAACATTCTAAATAGGTCTCTATCACCCCGAGGAAGCCAGGAGTCACCATCCCAACCCCCCACAGGAAGAGTCACTGCTCTCTAAGCATACTGGCTTGCTATATGATTCACTTCCCCATTTGTCCCCAGTTTAATCAATTTTACCTGAGCAATAAATCTTTTTAGTTAGCCACAGTTCTGTCCCACCTCACGCCTACCTTGCAAGTTCCTATGTTTTCCCAACCTTAGACCTGTTTCACTTTGTGATTTTGCTAGAGACAAGTCCCTTAAAAACACAGGGTCCTTGGCAACCCACTCAAGACCTGTTCTGTGTCTTTCTCTCAGACAGAAGCTTTCTTTCTCTCAATAAATATATTCTGCTCTTCACCTTCGTTGTTCCTAAAATTCATTCTCTGACTTTAGAGAACACAAACTCGTACCAGACATCTAGTAGGTGCTGTACACTAGCAAAAAGAGCTTCGTTATTGCTTGTCATGCTTGTGTTATGCCAAAGTATCTGTAATGTCACCTACCTACTGTTCTATATGCGTTTTTCCCCTCTCTGGATGACCTAATTGATATGTTAATCAATGCTCTCCTCTGTAAAGAATTGTGAATCCCTGGGAACCTAACCTAATTGATATGTTAACCATTGTTGCCCTCTATAAATAACAGATGTGGTGCTAAAATAAGCTAACAAAAGATTGTTAATGACTGTTAGACTACTCTACTCTCTGCTAAGGAAAACAAAGGTTTTCCTCATTTCCTTAGCAGATTTCCTGATCAATGCCCATAACCCCTTACTCTGTAAACTGTGATATGTACATAAAGGCTGCAAGCTTTGAGGATGACACACAGCTTTTGCAACTTCAACTGCACTGTGTTGCTGGGCCCAGGATAAAATAAATCAGCGCTGCTTTAAACAATATGTTTTTGCCTCATTTTTTGAGCATGAGTTTGGGGACTCGTTTGTGGATTACAAGAGTAGGTTCAACTTTCTTTCCCCAATGTCCCTTGGGCTGGGAATAACAAAACACCCGCCTAGCAGGCATGAGGCCTTGGGTCTGATCCCCAGTGCCACAAAACCAACCCACCCCACAAAGAACACACCACAGTACTGGGCTGTCTTTGTAATGCTGGGATTGGGGTTCTAGTATCTTTCACAGAGAAATCTTTATTTCCTACCAAGTACTTTATAATTTTACATTTTTGTATATAACCTGCTTTAATTTCTGTATAAGACATTAGGTGTAGGTGAAGGTTCTTTTAAAAATTTCCAATGTGCATGTCAAATAGTTTAATTTCTATCTATTGAGGCTATCCTTTCTCCACTGAGCTGCCTTTTATCTGTTAAAACCAACTAACCATATTGTACAACCCTCGCCTCTGGGCTCTTTCTTCTCTTCCACTGATCTATTTTTGTTCTCTTGTCAGTACTATTGTCTTGATTATTAAAGCTTTTTTTTTACTTTTCCCTTTTTTACCGGTACCAGGGATCGAATTCACGACTGCCTGCTTGCAAGGTAGGCATTTTGCTGCTGAGCTAAATCCCCAGCCCCCTAAAGCTTTATAGTAAATACTGAAATCAAGTGACCAGTCTTCTGCCTTTATTCTTTTTCAAAAATTATTTTGGGTTTTATAACTCCTCACCTATCCATTAAATTCTAATATATTTTCATACAATTTTAAAAAATGTAACTTTTTTTGGGGGGGGGGGAGACAGGGTCTCACTACATAGTCCAGGCTTTTTTCAATGCACTTTGTAGCCCAGGCTGACTCTGAACTCCTGATCCTCCTACCTCAGCCCCCCAAGTGATTACAGCAATGTGCCACCACGCCCAGCAATGATGGAATTCTGATGGAGCTGTTTTCAACTGTATACATCAATTTTGGAAGAAATGAAATTTTAGTATTGTAGAGACCATCAGTACACATGCCAGATGCCTGTTTCCATCTGAATTGGTCTCCGGAGTTTTTCAGTTTACAGGTGGTATGTACACTTTTTAATGGGGAGTGATTTTTAAATGGTACTGTTTTAACTTTGAACTCCAGCTGGTATTCCTAGTTTACGATGATACAAAAAATTTTGTGTTGAAATAAACATACTTATTTGTTCCAGAAGGATTTCTGGATAATGTTTGGAAATTTTTAACTATGCTACTAAGCTATATCCCAGCCCCCTGTTGTTCTTGGCAATGTGTCTTTAATGCATTAAGTTTTTAAAAATGTAAAGATTAATGTATTTGTCAATTAGCCTTTGTGTGTACTAAAACTAATTTTAACTGTTGATATTCCCAGTATGAATTAAAAGCAAAAATAGCAACCAATCTAATTGTGTCAGAATAATTTTAAAACACTTCCTTGTAGTATTTTTCAATAAAAGCTCTACACAGTCAATGGCTCTACATGCCAAACAGTAAGAACGCAGAAGTAGGCTCAGCATATTTGTATTTTTTTGAAGCCACTGCAAATAGAATTGTTTCCTGATTCCTTTTTCAGCTATATAGAAAAAGTATTGATTTTTAAATGATTTTGCATCCTGTCAACGTGTTTATATTTTGCATGGTTATGACCAACTCTGGGACCCTCAAGAAGACCTGCCTTGATTTCACTTGTTAGACAAGTTTCACTACATTGCCCAGGCTAACCTTGAACTCATGATCCTATTCCCTGTGTTTCCACCAAGTAGCTGGGACTATGGGAACATTCAATTGTGCTTGGTTAATTTTTAAGCTATAATATCAGTTTACATATTCAACAAATATAGCCATGAGTCAAAAGTTAACAATTATAGAAGCCATGTCATATTATGTTTTTTGAAATGACTCAATACACAGCAATCAATACCTTAGCTTTTGGAGTAGCTTTAATTGTCCAAATGCAATCAACTGCTTGGCCTGGTTTTGTTTTCTCTTCTTGTTCTACCTGACTGGAACGCACTATTCCATCAGCTCCTGACAGCTCAAACTGGCAATCTAGAAAGAATAAATGAATGATGTTCAAAGGAAAATAAAACTGATCAAATATACCATGGGGAAAAAGAGGTAATATACTAAACCTGGGATAGGATTTAAAATACCTCCTAGGTAAGTAAAGTCTGGATCTGTAACAGAAAAAAGAAGATAGTCATTGGGACAGGTATCTTAGGGCTTAACATTTTAAGATTTGTCAAACCTTCATTTAACAGCAATGTAAAAGAAGCTTTTACTGATATAAACTGTATGAACTTGCTTAAAGAATCATTTATGTAATGATAACACTTATACTTCACAATATCATAATTATGTTAGCAACAGGAGCAGCTAGTCCACTAACAGATGAACAGGTAAGCTGGGCATGGGCTTTTAACTTGGGGGGCTGATAGAGGAGCACTGCCGAAAGTCTGAGGTCTGGTATGCAAACCTGTGGCAATTCTCCTACCCCAGCTTCCGGAGTGCTGGGATTATAGATGTGGGCCTCCATGCCTGACTAAGGCTATCCTTTTTAAACTTTTAGCAGAGAAATGTCAAAAAAGATTTAAATCCTAAATGGCACAGAGGTGGGGAGTCATACCAGCTATCTGGAAAATTAATCAGATTTTTTTCATACATAGGCAAGAATTGTAAGATATCATAATTGCACTAATAAATTTTCCCTAATTATCTCAATTACTAACTTTGCACCATCAATTGGTTTTTCTCTAAATGTGTCATTCCCTAGGGAAATCTTATAAACATGACTTTAAGTAAACACAGACACAGCTATACTTTATGCATACCTTTTATTTTAACACAAAGTATTTTTCTTTCCTTAGTAATCACTGCAGAATCTGTGCTGCATTACAAAGGCAACATAACACAGCAGAAAAAATTGCCTAGAGAACTGGAACCCAGTCTTGGGTTTGCCACTGTGAAGTTAATCACTTCACCTCTCACTGTGTTTCCTCATCCCTAAAATAGGATATTACATATTTCTCATAACACTGTTAATAGCATAAAGTTAAATAGAACAATGTATATAGAAACTCTGAAGTAGTATCAATTATAAAGGATGAAAGTGTAGAAATCCTAAGCATTTTGTAATGTCCATGTTTTAACTATGTAGCCAACTGTCACAGTTTCTCTCACGACATACAGAACTAAGAGTTTGAAAAGGAGCTACTTTTGCTCAAAGTCAGCATCTTTGAGGTTTTAATTTTAAAAATTATTTTAAAATATTCAAACAAGAGCACCATTTTTGTTGTCTTTTTCTTTTAAGCAGTCTAAATTTATCTGTAAAGATTTTAACTTGTGTAAGATTTTGCAATAATGTCTTTAGGACACAAAAATTTATCAATTACTTGATTTAGTTAATAAAAATCGAACAACTGACCAATAATCCACATCAGTTATTTTATTTTGGGGCTTTTCTTTTTGTCTTTCTGAGACAGAGTTTTGCTATGCAGTTCACGTTGGCCTTGAACTCACTTTGTAGCCCAGGCTGGTCTCAAACTCATAATGATTCTCCCGCCTCAGCCTCCTAGAACTGGTACACCCTGGGCTGGGGGTGCTAACAATATGCCATTCACTGCTGGTTCATTGACTGTGACAAGTGCACCATTTGCGTGCACATTTACAGCAGCAGGGGAGGGAGGCGGCATATGATTCCTTTCTGTTCTATTTTGCTGTGAACCTAAAATTGCTCTAAGAACTAACATCTATCAGACAAATTTTACTTTTTGGAAATATCCCAGCATTTAGCAGATAAATACTGGCACAAAACTGTATTTTAAAAACACAATTATTCAATTATATTAACTACACAATTAACAAGTTTTACTGTGACATGTCCCTACACAATGTCAAATCCACCCTCTCCTCTTCCCTAACAGTCCTTAAGGAGCAAAATTACAGATTCCAAAATGTTTACTGATAGTGATAGAAAGTTACTTGTATTTTTCAGGCAAACAAAAAACTGAAACAGGTAATGAAGGTGTATGTAACACCTAAGCAGAAAAACCTGAAGAGAGACACACCAGACTGCTAACACTGATTTTATACAGAGGGTAGTAGATTATGAATGTAGCACTTTCTTTTTACTTGGGTCTGACTTAAATTTTTTCACCTACCAAATTTCTTACAAGAAAAATAAATAAAAGCAAAAAAAAAAATAGTTGCTGTATTAAGTATTTTTTTTGGGCGGGACAGGGTCTTACTATGTAGTTCGGGTCACTTTGAACCCGTTATATAGCTCAAACTGACCTTGAACTCATGGTAATCCTCCTGCTTCATCCTCCCAAGTACTGACACTGTTTGGGCCACCACATTGGCAAGTTTTTTAATTAATTAATTGATTTATTTTTATCCTGTTAAGTTTGCAAGCTTTGGACACAATAACAAGAACTTCTGTTTCTACCTGGGACACCTATACTTTATACTGGCTAGGGTTTTACAGCTCTGAGGGATTAGGTAAATCAGAGTGGTAGGCAGGTAGTACAGCAATAATGTAGTAGGCTGAACAATTACCCACCAACTTTATCTACACTTGTATTACCTTAGGTCAACGATGGCCAACTTTTAGAGCTTCGGATGATAAGAAACAGCCCATTGTGGCACATAGGGCATAGGTTTGCCCCACTGCCTAGATGGTTAAATAAAAGATTGAATAATACATTAGAAGGGAAAAGACGACACTGCTAAGGATTTGAGATGAAAAAGAGATATGAAGACTGAAGCCATGACTGTAGCAATATGAAGCTACAAGAGACCACAGATTCCCCTTACTGTCCTACGAGTGACTGAGACCCTGCTTGGATTGGGAACTTTGGCCTCCAAAACCACGAGAAAATATGTTCCTGTTGTTTTAAGCTGCCACATTTTTGGTAATTAAGTCATGTGCATCTTAGAAAATAAGTACAGTAACAGTGTAACCATTTTACCAAAACAACAGCAGCTATTATACCACTGTCCTAATGGCAAATCTCAGTTACAACTCTCCAAGTGATACAGCTATTAGGTGGCTGAGAAAGGGTTCAAACCTAGGTCTTTAACCTCTAGATGCAGAGCAGTGTGTGCTCACTATTTTCACTCAAATGAGGAATTAACTCAATTAGCCTAATGAAACAAACCTGTCAACCGATAGTTTTTGTAGGTACTATGAATAAACATTATTTTTATGTTGGCCTGAAGCACGTGCTGTACAGCATTTTTAACACTGAGAAAATGGGGGCTGGGGATTTAGCTTAGTGGCATAAGCGCCTGCCTTGCAAGCAGGCAGTCATGAGTTTGATCCCTGGTATCGATAAAAACGAAAAAGACAAAAAAAAAAAAAAAAAAAAAAACCTGAGAAAATGGGTCGGAGATACAGCTCAGTGGCACAGCACCGGCTCAGCAAGCACAAAGTCACAAGTTCAATCCCTAGTACCAAAAAAAATCCCAACACACACACACACACACACACACACAACAACCCCCAAACAAACAAACAAACAAAAAACTGAGAAAATATGGTATCACGATATGCTCAAAATTTAAATGATATGGAAGCATTTCCAATTTTTTATTTTTATTTGTTCATACATTGATTTTCTTTTGATCTTAGTAACTTCTTTAGTGTCTTGATTTAACCTTGCCAAATTTTCTCTTTTCTGTCCTTAGGATTCTAAAAACAGAGTGAGAAGCACAATCACTGAAAAGGTAACATACGCTTTACCTGGAATAAATGAGTATTTTGCACGAAATCCCAGTCCTTCAAGTTCTTCATCAGAACTAAACTTAATCCACATGAATCTCCCTGTTGATCTAATTAATGGAGGGCTTTTCATGCCACAGTAGCGATCTATAAGAGGAGAAAAACCAAATGGCCCATCTCGAACCTCCAAGTGATCAAACCGACATTCAAATGATGGTTCTATATAATAATGTTCATCAAAGGTCAGCTCTATTCTTTGACGTGGAGCAGCTATAAAACAAAGAGAAGCAAATCAGGACAGTAAGAATAAGAATACACTAATACAATGACACAAATGATTGAATCAAAACTATTGCTCTGTTAATGCATCATAGGTAAGGACTGTAATGGGAATTATACATCATAAACATCACATTTTACATTAATAATAGTTTACTTGTAGAAGTAGGATAATCTTCCTTTGGTATAAACTGTTTATTAAATGTACTTGATTAAAATTGAAATGTTGAAAAGCTACTGCTTAATGAGTTGATCAGATATATGTATCATGAAATATACAAAAATAAACAAATGAAAGGAGCCTACTAAAGTACACAGAAATTTGCATAGAGCCTAGTAAGAGATGTCAGTAAGTTTAAGTCTTTATCAGAAGTTTTTCATATATGCCTGATACACTTAACTGAATTTTATTTGAGAAGATTCAAAACTCCATTAAGTTTCAATATCATTTCGTTAGTTAATACTTACCACTACTAGAATTTAATTCAAATCCATGTTTTATTTTCAAATTGCTTTAACCAGAATTTTACAAATGTAGTTAGTTTTACAATAAAATAAAAATTCACCCAATAAAAGAAAAGAAAGTGGCCAAATACCTTCCAAAATGTAGATACATTCCTTGTTTGGTGGATATGAATCAGGATAATTTGGTGAAGCAAAATGACCCCCATTGCTGGTTCGAACCCAAATGCCACACTGAGTTGCAGGAATGTGCTTGATCCCAATATTTTGTCCATCTAGCAAAAAAAAAAAAAAAAAAAAGCATTTAAAACACAATTACTGCAAAAGAGAATAGCATTTTTCTCTTTCCCCCAAACTTCCCAAACAATTGTTCATTCTGTTACACACACACACACAATTGTAGAAACCAATGCCATGGGCTGGAGATTTAGCTCAACGGCATAAGCACCTGCCTGGCAAGCACAAAGTCATGAGTTCAATCCCCAGTACAAAAAAAAAAATCAATGCCAAAATTAGCACAATGAATTGAGTACAGCAGAAGGAAAAATAAAACAAACAGAAAAACAATTTGTAAAATGCACTCCTGGAAAAACTTGCTGCTAGGTGACAACCTGGCCATATAAGGGAATAGGGAAATAAAATGTTTTGTGGGAGAATCTCATAAATCAGTAAAATCTAATGAGTTCTATTCTGATATTAAAAATAAAAGGATCTGTGGAGTTGTTATGGTATCTTTATATTTAATACAGAAGTCAAATAAGATTGAAGATTGCTGAGAGATTTTAAAGATTATAGTTGAACATACATATAGCTCTCTCATGTCAATTCTACTTAAACAAGAGTGAATTTTTTAAAAATACCAAGCCATAAGTAGAAAGCGGTAGATATAATAATATCTAGCACTACTATAAATATTATGAGTAGTTGTACATAACCCTGGCCTTTCATTTTATTTATTTAGGTACCAGAGATCAAACTCACAATCTCATGCTTGCCAGGCAGGTGTTTGTGCCGCTGAGCTAAACCCCCAGCCCAAACCTGGCCTTTTAAAATAAATGAGTCTGAAAGAAAATAAAAATATGGGTCTGGTTATAGTCAATTTGGTTTCATATATCTTTTCCTTTTCCATCAATCCTAGGCAGCTACTGCTCTATCACCACATCAGAAAACTGGAGATAATTTCTTTGGAGAAAGTAAAACAGGGTGACTGGCCTATGGGATACCAGATGCAGCTGAGTGTGAAAATACCAAGGAAACAGGAAGATTACTACACAGTATGCTTGCTTCTCCTACTGAATCTGCCAAAAGCTACCTGGAGGGTGAGTCTCTATGAGGGAACAGATAGGTACTTTTCTGGGGAGCCTTTTTACCCTAAGAAAAGATCAACATGCACACCCTATGGGCTCCCAGTGTCAGGCAATTTAACAGCAGGGCCACAGTAAACAGTTCTTATCTAAACCTGCAGACAACTAACTAGCAGCTTTTCAGTATCCTTAATACAGAAGTAGACATTGAAAGACAGAGGGCAATATGAAAACACATCCAAACAGACAAACAAAGCAACTCTAGGGAAACAAAGACTATGTATAAAAGTCATTTAAAAACAAAAGAGTAACAATGCATTCTAGAGCTTTCATTTAAACTCTGGGAAAAAACCGATGTCCAGATACTCTTTAAAAAATGCATACTCAGAAAATAAGAGTGCTTCTACAAAGCAGAAGAAACTGAAGGTTAGAGTAGAGCTCAGGTCCTAGGCCAATCTGATTTGCTGCATGTGGTTAGAGGAAGTTTTACTGGGATGTTTCTACAATCTTGATTTGCACACTGTCTAGTTACTTTCACACCACAGCAGAAAGCTGAGCAGATGTTCCAGAGTGTATGTGGTCTGCAATGATGTAAACACTTGTTATTTGATCCTTTACAGAGAAACTTTCCTAAATTTCAGTCAGTGAATAAACTTGGCCATAACCAAATAATAAGAATCTCTGAAAATGCAGAACAGAGGAAAGAGAATTAAACAAATTAAAGCAAAAAATTCCTAAATTTAAGGCAGAATTCATAAAGACCAATGTGTGGCTTTCTAGTGATTTAATTAGAATTGTCATATAACTATATTGAGAAGCACCCTTCTCAATAATGTAAATGCAAAAAGAACATTTGTATGTGAATGGGAGTGGACAGCAGGAGTATCAAAGAGCTAAGTCCTTTTCTTCCATGGTTACAAAATCAGAATCTAGCATTTAAAACTGAGAGTCAAGAAATAGCAAGCAGTATAGGGCTGGGGAGTTAGCTCAGTGGTATAAATACCTGCCTGGCAAGTGCAAGGTCATTAGTTAGATCCTGGTACCAAAAAAAAAAAAAAAAAAGGCAGTATAGCATGTTACTCAAAGACAGGAAAGACAGTATCAAAAGAGTCAACAAAAAATAGCTATTTCCATGGACTAGGTAGGACAGCAGACTAGGACAGGAAATTGATTTTTCCCGATTATTTGGTACACTTTGATTTTTATCACATGTATATGTAACTGGTGAAAATAATGTAATAATTTCTAATATGAAAATATAGCTCAAAAACCACATCTATTAATCTTTTTTCATAAATTGGGACAATTAGGATAAGGCCAAAGGGCTCTGAATAACATACCAATAGAAATGCTTCATTTCTTTACATTGAAAAAAGGGCTTTTTAAAATTTTTCTTGTGGGCGCTGGGGATTTAGCTCAGCGGCATAAGCGCCTGCCTTCCAAGCAGGCAGTCGTGATAAAAAGGAAAAAGACAAAAAAAAATTTTTTTTTCTTGTGACAGAGCATGAATCTCATTTAATTTTTGGACATAATCCACAGTGTTGCCACGAGTTATCTATAATGTCAATTTTAAAAAAACTTATAGGTCAAGATTTATGTCAACAATTTACTCTAGGTAATTGCTGCTAAGCCCAGTTAAATTGAGGCTGACAGGTTGACATAAAAGCCTTCGGTCACTGAACACCCCAGAGGGACTGTGGGTCTAGTATTCAAAAGTCACAATCTTCTCCAATAAATTATGCCACTGTCTTGAACACGTTAGCACAGTAAGTACTTTACCTTGGGTCTTTTGGGCCACAGCGATCCCTTCCACTACAAGTACTGTTATTAACAACACTAGAAAAACAAAACCAAAAAAAGGTTAAAAAATAATTATACAACACTTTAATCCTGTAAGGAAAAAATCAGACTATAATGAAAGATCAGCTAAAATCACTATTTTTTTTTTACTTATATTCACACTCAAGACTTTTTAAAGTGTTAAACATTACATTCTACTTGACCCTTAAGTCAACCCAAGATGAGATGTAACTGATTATGTATTCATGTATACAAGTGCTAGAATATGGTATTGGAAGTGTTTTCTAACCTGAAATAGTTTTTAAAAAAACAGACCTTTTCTGTTTTGCAAACATAACCATTCCTCTACTTCCTGTACTCTGGCTCAGAATGTACATGCTGATGGCCAGTACGGCCGTGTGCTGTGTCAGTGAGTGTTCAGAGACTACCCAACTTGTGAGGGCCTTTGGGCAGAAGGAAGGGGCTAGGACACCTACAAGTCACGTGATGTTTACAGTCTTGCATTGCTATGTGCATGTTGCAAATGCCAGCTATACCTGTACACTGAAGCATTTCTCACTTTAAACAACACTGCTGTGACCTAGCTGTAAACATGTTGTTACAGTTTCTGTCTGGATGTCTCCCCAAAGCCTCAGGCTGCCCTGGTGGGGTGGGGGGCTGTGCTCATCAGAAGTGACTGAATCTATAGTTTGTGAGGGAGTCATTGTCTAGTGCTGATTATGGGCATGAGTGCTACACCCACCCTAGGTGGGTAGTCTGCATACAAAACAAGGGACAGGAAGTCTTCTCCTGTGCTCCTCACTTTATGCTCTGTTGTTTTTGCTGTTTTCTGCTGCCCTCTGTCATGTGTCACTATGCCTTGAAGCCAATAAAGTATGGACTGGATCTTCCACAAACTATAAACTAAATAAACCTTTCCTCCTTTAACTATGGCTGTTGGGTATTTTGTCCCAGCAACAACAAAGAAGTAATCAACACAGAATTTGGTACCAGAGAAGTGGAGTCGTTGCTGTGACTATACCTGACCATGTGGTTCAAAGCCTTTGTGAATGGCTTGTGGGGAGAGTTCAAAAAGGTCTGGAGATGTTGCCTGAAAGAGTAACACTGGAATTCCTTAGGCTGTTCTGTATGGGAGATTCTGGTCAGAGCTCAGAAGACCAGAAGACCAGTAAAGACCAGGTTCAAGAAGTTTCTGCTGGGAAGAACTTCATTAGCTGCTGGACTCCAGACAATGTGTGTTATGGCTTTGCAGAAAGTTTGTTTGCGTTTTGTTCATGTCCAGAGGTTTTGCATGAGCCTGAGATTAAGGGCAGCAGACTAATAAATCTAGCAGAAGAAATTTCAAGGTGTTTTAATGTGAGGCTATGGCACAGCTATTGTTGGGGGCCTTTAGCCAGATTTATATTAAGAATTGAGAGCAAAGAGCCCAGCAGGATGATATAAAACACTGTGAGTTTGGTCAGAAAAAAAGCTCCAGTAAAGCTGTAGACTGCAAAGATAAAGCTGAGAAGACCTCAATTACTGAGAAGGAACAGAATATGAAAGATGGCCCATAAGCATCACAAGAAGCTCAAAACTGCAAAAGTAAAAAAGAGGAGAAAGCTGCAGAGTACCATGTTGAATGGTGGCAGTATAGTGAATTTGTTCCTCAAAATCAGCTTCAGGCCCAGCAATCCAGGCATTGAATCTCTACAGCCAAGAGAGAAGAAAGCTGGCTACTGCTCCAGTTGGCAGCAGACCTTGGCATCATCAAGGTGGCACTAGTTTTAGACACATATATAATGTAAGAGTTCCGAGGTTAAAAAGGCTTCCACTCCAATTTCAGAAGAAAGCGTGGGAGGCCAGACAGTGTGCCCAACAGGGCAATGTGTGAACCTGTTAGGGTGAAGCCAAAGGTACAGTGGAGACCCCAGAAGTTTGGAGAAGCCAAAAATGTGGATCATCTAAGAAAACCTGCAGGAGGGAGCAAAGTGAGCCCGAAAGAAGTCATAGGAGCTGCAACCACCAGAAGTGCCACAGAGGCAAAGCCACGCAAACCCTCTGGAGCTCACAACTTACCATAGATTGCTTCGGATGTCCCACACAGAACTACAGCACTTAATATTTGACCTGATGCAGTTTGCACTGCGTTGGTCCCAAACCTCTGTATCCTCCTATTTGTACCTTCTGGAATGGTAATGTTTATCTTGTGCCACTGAATGTTGGAAAGGTGTAACTTCATCCATGTAACCTATACAGGGGCTCACAGTTAAGAGTTTGCCTTTAATCTTGGAAGAAACTTGGGACTTCGACTTTTTAGCAATGTTGAAACTGTTAGTTCAAGAGCATAATTACATGGTTTGTAAAGGCAGTTATAGAATAACGAACTTAGAGACACGTTATAGCAAGTTAAAATCAAATAGTCAATGCTCTGTCAATGCTCCTGCTCCTGTCATATAAACACTGCTGAATTCAGTCAGCCTTGACTGTCCGGGTCCACTGCTTTTCTTCTGATAATGCTCTGGGCCAGCTTGACTATTCTCAGCTTATGTTTCCCTTAATAAGAAAATGTATTGCTTCTACCTGGCTACAAGGACTTTGGTTGGGGTGAAGTAACATAGTCAGATACTTTTAACTCTGTTTGCTCCACTTGAATCCCTTCCCCTCAGCCCCAGGATGCTCCTCTGTTATGATAAACAATTCCTTTTAAACAAATATATTTAGAGTTAGCTTACCTGATAATATATGGCTTAATTCAGTCCATGTAACCAATCACATAATGCCTTGTAATTCCTGTCTATAAACTGTACTTAAACTGGATTCAAAGCTGGCTCTTTGCTAGTGATTTGGTCATGGTCCCACTAGGCAGCTGGTGTAATAAACAAGCTGCCTTCTAGATTCCTTGGTCTGAGTCCTCCATTTGGTTTGACATTGGTTTTTCTGCAACATTTGGATTTTTGCAACTCATAGTGATGGACTGTCTTTTGTATAACAAATAGATAACAGCTGTTGAGGGGCCAATGGGTAGAATGTTATGATGTCTGGAGGTTCCCACAAAGCTTCATGCAGTCATGGGGCAGGTTTCTAGAATTTGCGCTTGATTATGAGTGTGAGAGCTGCACTCACCTTAGGGCAGGCAGCCTACATGCAATATAAGGCAAAGAGTCTGTCATGGTTTATGTTTGTGTCCCCTAGGCCTCATGAGTTTGCATTGTGTATTTGTGATTGGTTCATCATCTAGTGCTTGGATTGATGGTGTCAGTGCTCCACCTACCTAGGGGTGGAGCCAGGATGTGATGTAATGGCAGGAAGAAGGTGTGTCTTTCTCTTTGCTGGTTCGAGCTTGCTGTTTGCAGCCGCCATGAAGCCCAGCCATGCCTGCCTGCCTTGCAGTCAACTGAGTGTAGACTAAAACCTCCAAAAACTGTAAGAAATAAACCTTTCCTTTCCCAGCTTTGGGCTTCAGGTATTTTGTCTCAGCAACGAGCATAAAGTAACTAAGACAGAGTCTTTGCTCCATGTTTCTGCCTTTTTGCTTTTGATGTTTTTGCTGTCTTCTGCTACTATGAACTGTTGCTTCTCTGCCATGCCACCCTGCCTTGGAGCCAGCTAATTATGGACTGAAACCACAAACTATGAGCTAAATAAACCTTTCTTTCCTAAATTTTGGGTGTTGGGTATTTTCTCAGCAATGCAAGAAAAGTAACCAACATAAACACTGATTTTTTAAGTATGTAGTCTGAAGATCTAAACTGTTTCTTTAACTTTTACTAACAGTACACTCTTCATTCCAATGAGAACTGTACCACCAGCCTGTACAAACTACTGTAAGAACAGGAAGTATAGTCACTCAGTCAATAAGGACTTACAGAGTATCTGCTAAAGAATAGGCACTGAGGATACTCACGTGGAGAGAGAAATGAAGCAGCATAGTTGAGTATGGACTTTAAGAGACAGATTCATTTGGGGTGGTTTTGTCTTTTACTGTGTGAGGCATTTTCAGCCAAGTTTACTTAGTACATCATCCCAATTTTGTAAGTGTAGCACCAACTTAATTGGTTGTGAAGATTAAATGAAAGACATGCATGGTAAATTGTATTGTATGTGCCAGATAACCTACTAAATGAATGATGTCAGGAATAACTAGCTTCTATGAGGATTCTATTTGTCAAATGCAATGTACAATAAAAGTGGAAAAGGGATTTAACAGAAGGAATAAAACATATGGGAAACAGAGTAGGTGACAATTCTTCCTGCTGGTAGTGAAGGGGACCAGAATGAAGAACACTTCAGAAAAAAGGCATATTCTAGCTGGGCCTCAAAGGAGAGACAAAAGAAATAGTTTAACATGGGATGGCGCATGAGCACTAATCTACAGATTCTAGGGAACTCTGAGTAATACAGCATGGCTATCACGTGGAAGGGAATGATGGGGTAACAAGTTAAGAGATTGTAAAGTCTCTCTCTCTCTCTGTTTTTTTTTTTTTTTTTTTTTTTTTTTTTTTTTTTTTTTTTTTTTTTTTTGGTCTTTTTTGAGACAGGGTCTCGCTGTGCAGTTCAGGTTGGCCTTGAGCTCACTTTGTAGCCCAGGCTGGCCTTGAACTTGCAATGATCCTCCTGCCTCAGCCTCCCGAGTGCTGGGATTACACGCGTGAGCCACCATGCCTGGCATAAGATTGTAAAGTCTTGAATGCAGTGCTGAAGAATGTAGATTTTGACTATAATGAGAAAGTGTTGTTTTTAAATTAAAAGTGATACAATATCTGGGTTTCAGACCAACAATCCTAATGGTTATGTGGCATCCAAGCTTTTAAAAAGAGGGTAAGGTCATTTAAACACAAATGATGTGCTGAAGCAGAGCAGTGATGGTAGAAAGGGAAGGAAGGGAGATAAAAGACACAATTCACATGTAAGCAACTGTGATTGGAAACTAGGACTGCTTTTGTTGCATCCCACAGATTCCAGTATACTGTATCTGCATTTTTGTTGGGTTATAGATATTGTCGAATTTCTTCTTTAAATTCATCAGTGACCCAATGGTTATTCAGGAGAGTAAT